CCAATTTTGGGCTGCCTTTGATATACCGAAAGATTCTTTTGACAGCAATAAGATGTGAAAGTTTAGGATTAGCCTGATAACATGCGTATTGACAAACTGCAAACATGATGTCTGGGCGGCTTACAGTTAAATACATCAACGATCCGATCATCGATCTGTAGTGTGTATGATCTACGAATTCACCATCAGTATCTGGATTAAGCAGGGGTCTTTCGGCCATCGGTGTCGATGCAGGTTTTGCGTCTTGAAACCCGAACTTCTCAAGTATATCCTCCACATACTTTGATTGATGGAGCAAGATTCCGGTTGACTTCTGTTGGACCTGAAGCCCCAAAAACATGGTCATTTCCCCTAACGAACTCATCTCAAACCTCTTTTTCATCACGCCTTCGAACTCTTTACATAGCTGCGGACTGGTAGACCCGAAGATAATGTCGTCAACATAGATCTGGACTAGAATCTGATCATTACCCACATGCTTGATGAATAAAGTTTGATCGATAGTGCCACGAGAGTATCCATGCTCGAGCAAGTGCTTTGTAAGAGTCGTATACCACGTTCGAGGAGCTTGATGTAACCCATACAACGCCTTGTCTAACTTGTAGACATGATTAGGAAACTTCGAGTTAACAAACCCAGGGGGTTGATCAACATATATTTCTTCCTTCACCTTGCCATACAAGAAAGCTGTCTTAACATCCATCTAATAAACTGTGAAGTTTATGTAAGAAGCATATGCAAAGAAGATACGGATAGCCTCCAAGCGAGCTACTGGAGCATAAACCTCAGTGTAGTCAAGACCCTCGATCTGTCTAAACCCGCGAACCACCAATCTTGCCTTATTGTGCACTATGACTCCGAAATCATCCTGCTTATTGCGGTATATCCAGCGTGTGTCAAGAGACTTTTTGCCCTTAGGTAATTCAACCAGTGTCCAAACCCCGAGTTTTTCAAATTGATTCAGCTCTTCGTGCATAGCATCTACCCAACTGGGCTCATTCAAAGCCATTTCAACGTTCTTTGGCTCTATTTGAGAGATAAAGCAAGAATAGAGACATGTGTTTACATCTCCACTCTAACTTCTAGTTTTAACACCATCACCCAGCTGGCCAATAACATTCTCGATCGGATGATCGCGTTGAATACGTGAGGGTATCTCCTGGCTGATGTCATTGAGGGAGACGGGAAGATTGTGAATGTTGATAACTCCATCATTTGTTGAATGTTCCACATTAGATGAACCTGTCTCTTTAGATGGATCTGCTACAAACTCATTAGCAATTTGTTTAGGAAAGAGTAGTTCCATGAAAGTTGGAGTAACAGCGGAAGCATCTCTAGACATAAACTCTCTTTCAACAGGAGTAAGAGGTGTAGCATCAGCATCTGGAGCATCATGTTGAGCGTGAGATTCTGGACTAGTAAGTGGAACAGATGACTCCCCTGTAGGAATTGAAGAGGATACCGGTGGAGGTCTGTAAACAACTTCTTCGTCTTCATCTTCAGGAGCAATCTTCGAACCAGAGGAAGAGCCAGATGTACCATCTGAATACATATTGATCGATTTGAACAAAGATGTGTAATCAAACAGCCAATCAGGTCCCACTCTAGCATTCGTTTCATTTTCCTCTAACCAGCGCACGTCGAAGGATTCTACAATCTGCTTCGTCTTCTTATTGTAAACCCTATATGCAGTGCGAGCAGCATACCCCACGAAGTAACAATCATCGGCTTTGGCATTAAATTTTGGGTTGGACTCCAGGTGAAGAAGGGTGG